AGAGGAGATTTACAAGACACAAGCAATATTTTGAAAGTCACAGAAAAGAGAATGAGGGTATGCAGGAAGAAAAAACAGGTGTATTATTTATATGTATGCTTCTGCAAAATTACAAGTAAATTTATGAACACAAATCTTTCAAGCAAGAAGGAGATAGGATGACATAGTTAAAACACTGAAAATAGGTCTAAGCAATAATACTCTATTTTGCAAAAGTATCTTTTAAAATGAAAAAAAAACACTTATAAATATATCACAATCTATATTAACCTCTAACTATGCCATGTCTTCAAAAGACTCACTTCATATTTAATAAAAAACAGAAAATGGCAGATAAAAATACATTTCATGCGAGTGTTAACCAAATGAGAGAAGAGGCAACAATTTATTAAGGTGAAAACTGCCGTATTTCATATAATTTGCTTTAAGTCAAAATCCACAAGAGACAAAGTAGGACATTCAACTATAGTAAGAGGGTTTAATTTCTAATGACTTATAAATATATGACAGTTTTCCCAAATACATAAAGCAAACATTGTCAGAATTGAAGCAAAAATTGATAGCAATATAATAACGTAATAACACATCAATATTTCACTTTCAGTAATAAATAAAGCATGACAGAATATCAATGAAGGAAAAAAAACCTGAATGCATTATACAATAATTACACCTAACAAATGTGTATAGATCACAGAATACATATTCTTTTCAATAGCTCATAAAATATTTTTCTAGATGGACCACATGTGACATCACGAAAGAACCCTTAATAATTTTAAAATTATAGCACAAATGGAATGAAACTATAAATCAGTAACCAAAGAAAAACTGAAAAATTCAGACCCTATAAAGATCAAGCAACACAGTTTCCTGTTTTGTTTTGTTTTGAAATGGAGTATTACTCTTTTAGTGGAATGAAGTGCAGTGGTGCAATATCAGTTCACTGCAACTTTCACCTGCTAGGTTCAAGTGATTCTTCTGACTCAATCTCCTGAGTAGCTGGGATTACAGGCATGCACCACCTTGCCCAGCTAATTTTATGTATTTTAGTATAGACGGGGTTTCATCATGTTGGCCTGGATGGTCTCCATCTCCTGAACTAGCCATGTGCCCTCCCTGGCCTCCCAAAGTACTGGGTTAGAGGAATGAGATAGCACACCCAGCTATAACTAACTTTTTATCTTTTATCTTGCTCTTTATTCAACGGTATGTTGTTTAAAGTGACCAACACATTCAACACACCACTTTTCAATTTTCAATTATACTTTTCCAAAAATAGAAAAAAAAAGCCACAAACTTATGTAAGATCTCAAGGGACCATGAAAAGACTGGCAATCTTTAAAAAGAAGAAAAATATTACACTTAACAGTTTCCAAACACAGAACAAACCTAGAGTAATCAAACACTCTGGTACTGGTATAACAAATATATTAAAATACAGCACCACAGTAATAAAACAGAAAACAGCACAGATATAAACTGTTGAATAGAGAGGAGAGACATACCACCTAGGTTTTACATTTAGCCATATGTCACAATTCCTTCAGTAAGTAGGACCCAGGCAGGAGAGGAGAATTACATTACATAGACACTAGTCTTAGGAATATTTAAAAATGTCGTCTGGGAGCCGGGTACAGGCTGGAGAGACACATCACCTAGCAGATAGCCCCAGAAATATGTGATAATATTCCCTGTTGACAGGGCCTAGGCAGAGGAGTCAAATTATTATGATTCTCACCCATTGATATGTAAAAACGCACCCATAGGAAAAAGTCTCAACACCAGGGTAGTAGGCCCAGAAATAATCCCATCATCTTTGAGGTTGACATTTTTAACTTTTAGCTGAGCATGTATATTAGAGTCACAATTTCCTGGTGTGCTGGGACAAGGTATAACATTCTATACAACATCTGAGGACTTTATGAAACCTGCACGAGAGTTGCAAACCTCTCTGTGGCCTACATGCTCCTATGAACTCAGAATCTTACATATTGCTGTAAACCAGGTTTGATAGTCAACATCTACAGGCAGGAAGATGTTAAGAGGAAGGATCTTCCTTAAGAGGAAGATCCATTATTGCACCTGTGGGCTGGGTCCACAAATGAGTCACCATCTCCCCTGTGGCCAAATCCACATATAAATATCACAATTTTAACTGTGTGCTGTATTCCTTTGTTAGACTCAGGACCTCAATAGAGGGCATTGTAAATGTGGAATGGTGACAACTATTAACTTCACCTGGGTGTGCAATCAAGATTCCCATTGTGAACCTTTTGCCAGTACCTGTTATGAAACTCTACCACCAAAGAGTTCATACAATATAAGTTAGTGTTGTAAGCTTATGTGCACTTGATACAAATATGCAACCCAGAACCTTACATATTTCCTTAAGCCAAACAATAAGAGGAAAAATATCTCATACTGGCTGTATCCCCATATAAGTTTGATCTTCCTGCCTGTGAACTGAAGTAAGATATATGTCATAATTCCATATGTGGGCAAAAAGCAAGACAGGAGGATAACATTACATAGATGGTGTACCAAGCAATATGTCACAATGTCTTCTCTAAGCAGGGTATAAAAAATTGGGTCACATTAACCTGGTGCTGTACCCAGCATTGCACAACATCCCACATGTGGAAAATACCAAGCCACTTTATGAGAGCCAAAACACATATGTAATGGACCCAAGAAACGTCAATATACATTTGGTGGCTCCAGCACAGGCAGGAAAGTCACATCATAATGGTGCTGGGCCCAGCAATATGCAATATACCATATTTTCCTCTTTATTGCAATATACCGTATTTTCCTCTATGCATAATCCAGAAAGAGGAGAAAAATCATCTGGGTGTTGGGCCATGCAATATGTCAAAATTCCTTTCTTGTGCTATCTTAACCCTGTCTGTATGACAAATACAAAAAAAAAAAAAAAAAAAAAAAAAAAAAAAAAAAAAAGCAGGGCCTGATGATGGGTGCCTGTAATATCAGCTAAATAGGAGGCTGAAGAAAGCAAATTGCTCTAACCTTGGGGCAGAGCTTGCAGTATGCTAGGATTGGACCACTGCACTCCAGGCCAGGCAACAATGAGATACTTTGTCTAAAAAGAAAAAAAAAGAGAGAGAAAGAGAGAGAGACAGTCATCCCAACCAGGTGCTGGGTTCTGCAATGTTATAATCTCTCCTCTTGGCAAAGTCTAGAATATAAAAGAGAGTCACATCACTTAGGTTTTGCAGTTCATTTGACTTAACAACTTGGTTAAGTGACTCTCCTCTCCTTTCTGCTCACTAAATAAATTGTCACAAGTTGTTAAGTCAAATGATACTTCATAGCGTTCTCTGGGGGCAGGGTACAGGCAGGATAAACAAATAATCTAACTTATTGTCCCAGAGATATGTGACAATATCCCCTTTTCACAGGGTCCAGGCAGAAGAGTCACATTATTATGATTCTAACCCAAAGATATGTCACAATGCACTCCTGAGAAGAAATTTAAACCAAAAATTCTCAACACATGGGTACTAGGCCTACTTATGTGCCAAATCTTCTTGTCTTTGAGGGTGACGCCATTAATTCTGTGCTGAGTATGTATATGAAAGTCATAGTCTCATGTGTTTCCTGGGCTGTTGTATAATACTCTACTACATACAAAGGCTTTATACAGCATGCATGAGAATTGCAAACCACTCTGAGATATACATGTTCCTATGGATTCATGATCTTACATACTACCCTAAAACCACATATAATAATCAATATCTCTTTGATAGGCTGGTCCAGGGATGAAACCCACTCTTACGCCTATTAGCTGGATCCAGAAATGAGTCACCATCCTACCTGTGGCCAAATCCATATATGAAGGTTACAATTCCAACTCATACTGCATTCACTTGTTATATTTGGGAAAAATAAGAGAGTCACACGTCCTGAGTGCTGGGCTCAGCAATATGCCAAAATTCTCCTATTGTGAAGGCCCAGGCAGAAAAATAGATTCACATCAAGAGCTCAGAGATATTTCAAGGTGTCCCAAGTAGGCAGGGCTCAGTCAGATGAGGAGAGTCATATCACCTAGGTGCTGCTTTAGGAAGGGCCACATCACTTGAGTGCTTCCAACTGAGATATTTCACAAGGATTTCTTAACACAGCACCCAACAAAGAGAGTTACATCACCTAGTTGAAGGTTCTCTGTTTATGCCACAATGCTCCGTGTAGGGAGGGCCCAAAGAGGGACTCACATCTCCTTGGTTATAGGTCCAGAGATGTGTCACAATGTCCTCTATGAAGCATAACCCTGGAAAAAGAGTGCCATCAACAGTGTGCCTGGCCTAGAAGTATGTCACTCACCAGGTTGACAGGACCCAAGCAAAAGTCCCACATAGCCTAGGTGACAGGCCTAAAAATGTGTCACAATCCCCTTCTTTAGGCATAGGTCTGCCAACATAGTTCTCTCACCTGTGTTCCTGGATTGGCAGTATGTCGCTATACTTCCTTTGTATAGGGTCCATTCCAGAGAGGTGTTACATCATTTAATAGTGAATACAGAGATATGTCACAATAATTTTGGTTAGCATGGCACAGACCCTGAGTAGAGAGCAGTCCTGCACGCAAATGATCAAAGGTTGGTTTCTGGAGACATATGTACACCAATTTATGTAGATAAATTCCTTTATATTTCCTCATTATCCACCCTTTGCTCTCAGGCTCAGAAAAAGAGAGTTTTGCTGCCTTCAGCCAAAATTCTTTTCCAAGGCTTTTGCAAAACCTCCCAGCCCTCCAAGAAAGTTGTATCTTTACTATAGTTTTTCCCATCACCCTGACCAATCTCCTATGTCTCCCTCTTTTTGTTTTTGTTTTGTTTTGTTTTGTTTTGTTTTTGCATAAATTATTGTTTACTGAAGACTACAGATGTTTTCAGCAACAGGACTAGATGCAGTGGTTATAACTTGTATTCTGGCTTTGGATCCTAGAATCAGTAAATAACATAAGACAAACATGAGTATAATAAGAAACATTGTATTCCAATCAAGTAGTGGCATGTTGTGTTACCAGGCACCTCAGTCCAATGTGTGATGTCACTAAGGAACTCTACTGCGGATATCTTAACTCTTTCTAGTCAAACAGTCACATTTTTAGAAGCTGGGAGGGTTATTTTTTTCCTAAGTAACAGGACAGTAGAAAGGCAGATTTAAAAGATGGGCCTAATAGATTGTAGCAGGTATGGATTGCAGACAAAGTGATAAAATAAGAAAGATTAATAAAACATAGCAAGAAACAAATTTTCTGGAGTGAATCATGTCTGTGTCCAGAGCAGGATTCACTTAGCCTTCTGAGTTGTTTTCTTCATCCTCCCTCTGGTAATGTCTGGGGCCTGAGTTGTACAAGGAAGCCACATTTTCTGGGGCTGCAGGTTTTACATGGTCATTTTCTTCATTTCTGGTGCTGGGCTGTGTTTTAGCCATGCTATGATAAGTTTTGATGTACTGCACTGGAATTCAAAGAGGGCCTGAGGAGGTGTGAACATAAGCATATCCTCTTCCCCATGTTAGCAAATCATTTAGACCACACCGTACATACTTTCCATAAAACTGTAGGTTTTATGTCTTGAGAGTTTTTAGCAAAGTTCTTTTCTACAGCTAATTGAAATTTGTTATCTAAATTTTAGAAATTAAGGGTGAATAAAACTTGCACTACAGTGTTGCAGGGTCCTTATTTATATTCCTTCTTCTTTGTTTTCTGAGCCTATATTTAAGAGTGAAATGGGAATGTTCTACTGTTGTCTGTCGTTGGGGTTTACATGGCATGTCTGTGGAATGTTGGATGATCCAACTTTGCCCAACTGAAAAAGTTGTGTCAATTGTGAGCTATCATAAGCCAGAATAATCTTGCAATAAGGAAGTCCTTTTCTACTGGGGAGCAAAGCCTGACTTACATGATACTGACACATGGTAGTATTACCGGCAGGTCTTTGTTCTTAGGGCCTCCAAGAGGCTGGTAGGCCACTTCCAAGATGGTGGCAAGCCTTTTGTTCTCTGACCAGGGGTTCTTGGCCTCATGAATTCCAAGGAATAAAACCTTGGGCCATGTGGTAACTGTTATAGCTCTATTAGAAACCATGGGTCACAGAAGAGAACCATGGAACCCAGTGACTAGTGTTCAACTTGATTAGGAAGAACCCGGGCTCTTAGCCATGCAGGAACAAAGGTGAGCTTCTAGCCCCATTGGGAGTGACAATGGGCACTTCACTGAATCAGAATTTTAGTGGACACTCTGCCAGATCCAGAGGGGTAGAAGTCAGCATCAGGTCTGCAACGGCCATGACCAGCAGTGGTGGATGGTGAGTGAAAGCTCAGCTCAAGCTGGAACAAACATGACCAGAAAAGTGTGCAGTTGCAAGATTTAATAGAGTGAAAACAGAGCTCCCATACAACAGGAGGAGACTCAAAGGGAGTTGCTACTGCCAGGTCAAATACCTGGGTTTACATCCCAATCATTGTCCCTCCCTCTGTGCTCTTGGGCAATAGATGATTTGATTATCTCTTTACCTTCTGCTTTTATACTAATTGGTATTTTAGCAACCTCTCTTTACTATCTGATTGGTTGGGTATGAGCTGAGTTACAAGTCCTGAGTTTAAAGGTGGGTGTGTTCACCTTCCCCAGCTAGGCTTAGGAATGCCTAGCTGGTCTAGGAAATCCAGCTAGTTCTATCTCTCAGTAGGACTGCTCAGCATCCCTTGAGGAAGTACTTTCTAATGAAATCTGTGAGCTGGCCTTTCATTATTGATAGCTGCTATGGTAAATGTAAATTATTATGTGTCCTCTTCTTCAAGGGGAATAGCATAAAGGCAGCCTTTTAAGTCAATAATAACTATAGGCCAATCTTGAGGAATAGCCACGGGAGAAGGGATCCCCTGTTGAAGGGGCCCTAATGTTTGCAAATTAGCATTGATAGCCCATAAGTCATGGAAAATCTCCATTTGCCAGACCTTTTGGGAATGAAGAAAATGGGAAAATTCCAAGGACTCTTTGATGGTTCTATAAGGCCAGATTCTGATTGCTCCTCAACTTATTCATAGGCTTGTTGTAACTTCTCTTACTGTAAAGGCTACTGTTCTATCAAAATAGTATTTTAAGAGAGGCATGTCAGGAATAGGGGAGAAATAACAGTGACCATTATTACAAAGAGGTCTGTAGAGTGACCTCAATTAACCCTCTCATAAACTGGCTAGGGGATACATTTTATCTAATGCTTTTTCTTATTTCTTTATGTACCTGATTGCCTTATTGATCTTGCACTACTGGGTAAGCCAAGATTTCCCCCTCTAATGCCGCTTGCCTAAGACAGAGTCCCATATCTGTAGCATATTTTTTGTCCTTTCTCCAATTTATTGGGGGAGGGGGATTAGGGGAAACCTCCACTTCATCTGTGGCACTTTTACTACTAAGAGTGGAACAGAGGGAGTGGGAAGAGGTTGTAAGGTAGGTGATGGTTCCTCCTCCCTTCTCTTCTTAGGTTTTTCTGTGTAGACTGGGACCAAAGCAGTCCTAACTAAGAATCATAATGTTAAAGATGTAACTGGAACCTGTGGCCCTTGTGCATGATGTTGTTTAAGATTTCTCCCCACTCATTCCCAGAGGTCTATGTCTAGTGTGCTTCTTCCGGGAACAATGGGTTATGGAAAAAAAAAGAAAAAGAGTTTGCTTAGGTCCCTTAATTGAGACTGTGATGCCGAGGATCCTCTAGCTTTAAGCAGCTGTTTCAGTTCTTTGATATACTTCTGATGTTGAGATAATAACCGATGTTCCATGATGAAACCCTCGCCTGAACAATTCCCTCGAACATGGAAGTCCCAAGTGGGCACCAATGACTTACGCACTGCACAGCCTCTTCACCTTCATTTTGGAGTGTTTCATCATAATTTGTTGCAGCATTCCTCACACAGGGCACCATCTGCTGAATCAGTCCCACCGAATCTGGCTGAGGGATGGATGAAAGAAGTTTGCTGACACAGGTATTTTGACTGAGAGCTCCACAAAGGTGCTGCATGCTCAGCATCACTAGCAAGCATGCAGTAGCAACAGCAACAGCAGCAGCAGTAGCCGAGTGTGCAGCTACCACTAAGAGAATGCAGCAGCCATTGATAGAGTGTACCAGCTGCTGAGAGTGCATCATAACAACAGCAAAGCTTACAACACTAACTTGCAGCCCCAATAAGACAGTGACACTTGCATTTATTTAGTACAGATTTAATGACAAAGGCTTATTATTGTGCATATCAGATGAATCCAGGCATATGTTAGAATTTCATCTTTGAACAGACAAGATAGAAAAGCCACATCATCTGTGTCCTAAGTCAGAAATACATTATGTCTTCTTTGTAGGCAGGATCCAGTCAGAAGAGTCATATCACCTGGGTACAGTCTCAAATAATATGTCATCTTGACCACTGTATACAGGGTTGAAAAAATAGTGGATGGTCACATTCTCTAGGTGCTGGACTCAGCAATATGTTATAATTCCCTCTCATGGCAGATTCCAGCACAAAGAGAAGAGTCACACCACCTAGGTTTTGCACTCAGTGGTATGTCACCATTTCTTCAATAGGTGAGATCCAGGCAGGAGAGTCACATTACCTAGATGCTATATCCAGCGAATGTCACAGTGTTCCCTGTGGGCAGGGCACTGGGAGAAGAAACACATCACTTAGCTGATTGGCCCAGAGATATGTGGTAATATCCCCTGTTGGTTGGATCAATGTAGAAGAGTCACCTTTTTATTATTCTAACCCTGCGATATTTCACAGTGCACCCATGTGAAAGAATCTAAGCCAAGATTCTCAACACCAGAATGTTAGACTTTGTGAAGTGACACAATTACTTCATCTTTTAGGTGACACTTTTTTTAGTTTGGTGTGTATATAACAGTCACAATCTCATGTGTGTTGTAGGTCATTTTATGATAGACTCTACAACATTTGAAAGCTCTATGCAAAATACCTTAGTGTTACAAACCACTCCCAAGCCTACATGCTCATTTGACTCAAAACATACATGTTGATATAATCCCTGTTAGAATAATCAACAGCTCTCTTATATACTGTATTCAGACAGGAAACCCATTATTATGCTGGTGATATGGGTCCAGAAACGAGTCACCATGTCATCTGTAGCAAGATCCACATATGAAAGTCACAATTCCATCTTTGTACTTTATTTACTTGTTAGAGTCAGAACTTCAACAGTGGGCTTTGTAAATATGGGATGCTGAAAACTTTTGCTCTCATCTGCATTTGTAATCAAGGGTCAAGATTTTAATTTTTTGCTGGGCTCTGTTATAAAACTCTGTGTACCACCCAAGTTTATAGAGTATAAGTTAGTGTTGTAATCTTCTGAGAGCTTTGGACAAATATGCAACCCGTAACTGTAACTATTCCCCTAAGCATAGTGATGAGAGGCAAAAATCTACTATGAGTGGATTGCCATGTTTCATCATCATGCCACTGAGTTGAAGCAATGTAAATGTCATAATTCCATTTGTAGAAAAAAACTTGGCAGAAGGGTAGCATAACTTAGATACTGTGCCAAGCAATATGTCACAATGCCCTCTCTAGGCAGGATCTAGAAATGAGTGTTACATTAACTGGGTGCTATAGTGCTGGACCCAGCAATATGACACAATTCCAAATGTGGTAAAACAAGCCCAAACAAACAGAGCACAAACACCTACAGGCTGGTCCCAAGATATATAAAAATAGTTTGGGTTGCTGTGGTACAAGCAGGAGAGTTACATCATCAGGGTGAGGAGATCAGCAATATGCTATAATTGTCTCTTTATACAGGACCCAGGCAGAATAGGGACATCATCTGGGTGCCATACCCTGCAATACATCAAAATTTATTTTCACTGGCATGGTTCAGGGGTGAAAAAAAGAAGACTCATTTTATCCAAGTATTGGGCTTAGCAGTATGTAACATCATCTCATTGTAAAGGCTCAGGCAGAAGAAAAGAGACACATCACTTAGGTCACAAGCTCAGATATATGACCCAATGTCCCAAGTAGGCAGGGCTCAGGCAGGAGAGAAGAGTCATATTACAAATCTAGGTGCTTCCCTACAAATATAACACAATCTAACACATGAAGTGAAGTCAGGCAGAAGAGTCACATCACCTTGATGCTGGGTCCTGAGATATGTCACAACGCTCCCTTAGGACAAGACCCAAGTAAGAAAATTACAACAAATTGTAATTTGTTACAGGCTTCACACTTATGTCACAATGCTCCATGTCAGAAGGACTTTGTATCCTTCAGAAGGACACAAAGAAGGACTCAAGCAGGGAGTTATATCACCTAGGGGACAGGCCCAGAGATTTCTCACAATATTCTCTTTAGGACAAGGTCCTAGCAAAGGAGTTCCCTCACTTGTGTGCCTAGCACAGCCATATGTCACTATACCACATTCTGTGCAGGGCTCAATCTAATGAGGAGAGTTACATCACCTAAATGGCTGACACAGTGATATGTCACAATAATTTCTGTGGGCATGGCTTAGGCAAAAATGTAACATGACCTGGGTACTGGATGTAGTGATTTGTCGTGATTCTTAATGGGAGCATGGCTCAGTCAGGAGAATCACATCACCTAGAGGCTGGCCCAGGTAGATACCACAATAAGATATGTGGGCTGAAATCAGTCTAGAGAGTCAAATCAAAGAGGTTCTTCATAAAAATTCAAATCACAAACACACTAGCAGAAAATTCCCAGGATAAGATTTACAATACCACACATTATTTGTTTTTATGAGTGACAGTTGTCTTCATATATTTCAGATGGTGACATTCCTTATCGTCAGCTGAGTGTGCACATGAGGCTCACAATTTCACCTTTCTGGCTGGGTTCCGTCATAACACTCTCTGTAAAACCCTAGGACATTACAAAATATCTGAGGCTGTTACAATCTGCTTTGACCTTTTTTATTTGTAAATAATTATACATTTGTATAATTCTTATAATTTGTAAAAAAATTCTTATAATTTGTAAAGAATTATAAAAGGTTTTTGCATTTTACATTTCTAAGTCATCATTTTGGTTAAATAAGTAATTTATGATAATCTGGAATTTTATTTCATTACATCAAGTGTTTTAAACCTCTAACTTGTAACATAAGTCTCAAAACCAAACTTTAGCTACAAAATTATCTTTCTTAATTTCTGGTTTTGGGATGCGGCAGAAGGCTCCTGGAGTATCCACAGGAGAGTTAAACTGAAATATACAACATGATTAGTTACATGGAATTGCCAAAATGGTGTTTAATATAATTTAGATGATATTTTGGTGACTAATACGAACACATGTTCCAAAATTTAATGGGATTTCTAAAATTCTAATGTCTGAAGTATATGCTATCAACCACAATTAAGGTTATGTTAATTTATTGTAAACCATACAAATAACGAAAATTTTTCTCATGTTTCTGACTGTAACTACCCTGGACATTTTGTTACACACAGATAATTTTTGCCTTATTTTGATTTTTTTATAAAGTGCTTTTTAGACAGATATAGATCTTTGACAGGTGCTCTCAATTGCAGGTTTCTGATAACTTTGGAGCTTGTGACATTGGAAGCAGGAAAATCTGACAGGATTCTTAAAGAGCTAATATGTTCATGAATATCAAACAAAAGAGAGTTCACTGAATGGACTGGACTAACAGAAAACTGAATTAATCTTCCTGACTTTTCCTTGAAACATTACTGATTCTCTTATTGTTTACCACAGTCAAAGAAACATCTTGAGATATTTACAGTCTTTAATATGTGAGTAAGGTGTACTCCTGTGTACACAATTTGGATTATGTTTGTCTTTCTTTGCAGGGCTTCTCCAGAATTTGAAAAATAGTTGTGAATATTCTTAAGTAATGGCAATATAGGTGTTTACATCAGCGCAATAATACTACAATTTATTTTCAGAACACAATTGGAGAAACTTGTTGTTTTACCAAGGCCTTGTCTGGAAAAGTAAGTTTCTCTTTAAGGAGTCAATCTCAACTTGCAGAGCCAAGAAAATCCCAGGGGGAAAATTGGCTTCATACCTAATCTAACCAGTCCTTTAGTAGGGTTCCTGATCTGTAGCAAGTAAAGAATGACACTTTCTGACAGGCCCAGGAGCTCCAAGTTTATCTTGAAACAATAAAAGGAGAGGATCACCCAGCTCAAAAGTATTTGATGGTACAAATCTATGACTGGCTTGACTTTCAAAAGTCCTCCCTGAAATTTCTTGTGGAACAGAGTTCCATCAAAGCCAGTGTAAAAGACCTATATAAAAATAATTATTCTTGCTGCACTTTATGTAAATAATCATGCCAAGTATAAGAATAAAGTTTACTTTACAAACAACTCAGTTATATCATGATTTATTTTTTAAAAGAAAAAAGGACTGGATAAAGATTATGTTTTACAACTTTTCATATATTTGTCATTAAATCCTAAACTCATTAGTTTTGAGTTTTGGCCTACATTTTAGACCAATATTGCTTGTTTCTGTGACCCAACTAGTGATCTTCAATAGTAGCCCACAAAAAACAAAAATTGTTTGGTATTCATGAACATATTAGCTCTTTAAGAATCCTGTCAGACTTTCCTGCTTCCAATGACACAAGCTCCAAAGTTATCAGAAGCCTTGGAAAAGTTAATTTCCCAGACATTAAACTAAAGGGCTTAGGATTGGACTCAGGAGAAAAGAACCCAGAAAACTGATATGCTGTCAAAAGGGCAAAAGGTGTTGTTGTTGTTGTTGTTGTTGTTCTTGTTTGGGGGGAGGGGGTGCTTTTGGCCTCCCTCTCTCTATGCAAACTGGTGAAAGATCTTGGATTTCTGAGCTGTCTTTTCCATCTTTCCCTTGTTTCATTTTAATACACATGTTTTAATAATACAGTTTGATTCTTCCCACCTTCAGGCTATCAAACCTCAAACAGTCACAC